TGCTGCTGCCGTTGCTGCTGCTGCTGCCGTTGCTGCTGCTGCTGCTGCTCTCCAGAAGCCCCGCAGCAGATGGCTTTGGCTTGCTGCATTAGCTGCTGCAGCTGCTGCAGCGCGCCTGCGTTGTCCAGCTTAGCTGCTGCAGCTGCTGCTGCCATCGCTGCTGCTGCCCACGCATTGTCCTCCATCTTGCTGCTGCTGCTGCTGCTGCTGCTGCTACTTTCTAGGAGGTCACGCGGAAGCAGCAGCTCCTGTAGTTCCTGCGTCAGCCCCTCAACAGCAGCAGCAGCAGCAGCAGCAGCAGCAGCACTTGGTGTTGCTGCTGCGGGTTGCTGCTGCACACATACCGAAGTCGCATCTGCCGCCTGCACCCCATCCTCCAGCTGCACCCCGTTGTTGCTGCTGCTGCTGCTGCTGCTGCTGCTGCTCAAAGACTCCTTGAGGCTGCGGCGAATCAGCTGCAGCACTTTATAAGCCCTGAGGGCCAGCTGAGTTAGCTGCTGCCTCTTTAGGGCCTGCTGCTTCTGCTGCAGCAGCAGCAGCGCGAGGGTCTTGGCGTTGCTGAGTGCGGCGTGCTGCTGCTGCACCTCTGCTGCTGCTGCTGCTTGCTGCTGCTGGCAGCAGAGCGCAGCAAAAGCCCCATTTGCTGCTTCCACTGTTTCTTGAAGAGCAGCAACAGCACTTTTGCTGCTGTACAAAATGCACAGCAGCTGCTCCTGCAGCGCAGCAGCACCTTTCTCCAGCTCCGCCCCCAGGCTCTCCAGCGAGGCGCTCCTGCAGCAGCAGCAGCAGCAGCAGCAGCAGCAGCAGCAGCAGGGGCAGGCGTGACTCTGCAGCTAATGTGGGCAATTTCTAATTCACATTAATTGTTACTTGTTTATTCAAGTTTAGTTTTAATTTTAATTTAATTTTAATCTTAATTTTAATTTTAATTTTATTTAAAATATTTATTTTTAGTTATAAACTTCTCTGCTGCTGCTGAGTGCGCTTCGGGTGTACGTACACCGCAGCAGCCCACCTGCTGGCCTGCAGCACAAACTGCAGCGGATTTGCTGCTGCTGCTGCTGCTGCTGCTACTTCGGACAGCGGAGGGCCGCGAGCAGCAGCAGCAGCAGCAGCAGCGGCTGCTGCTGCTGCTGCTGCCTCTCCCTCTGGCCCTGAGACGGCCATAGTGAGGCAGCAGCAAATGTCTTCTTGAGCCCTGCAGCCCCCGCCGCTGCAGCAGCAGGAGCAGCAGCGGAACAGCAACAGCTGCTGCTGCTGCAGCAGCACCGCAGCAGCAGCACCGCAGCTGCAGCACTGGAGCAGCAGCAGCAACAGCAGCAGCAGCAACAGCCCGGAGGCTTCAGAGAGTCCTGGGGGCCACCATGAAAGGCTGCAGCAGCCGACGGGCAGAGGAGGCAGCAGCGCTAGGGTTTAGGGTTTAGGGTTTAAAAAGTGTTAATTAATTAAAAATAAAGAATAAAACTTTCCTTTTTTGCTTCTTTTGCTGCCATTTTAAACCCAACGCGCAGCAGACACAGCCAGGGGGGCCCCCCGACCCGCGGGGGGCCCCCCTGCAGCAGCAGCAGTTTTGTTGGCTTAATTTGCTGTATTTCTTTTAAATTTGTTTTTATTTATTAAAATTTAATAAATATAGCTCTGCAGCTAGCTAGCTAGCTAGCTAGCTAGCCAGCAAGGAGGCTTCCTAGGTGTCTTGAGCAGCAGCCATGTTGCTGTCGAGGGTTTAGGGTTTAGGAAGGCCATCATATCGCAAACCCTAAACCCTAAACCCTAATTGATAAGCCCCACCTGCTCCCCACAGCTAGCTAGCTAGCTAGCCAGCTAGCTAGCTAGCCAGCTAGCTAGCCAGCTAGCTAGCTAGCCAGCACCTAGCGTGTACATCTGCTCGTAGCTCGTACCCCAAACCCTAAAAACCTCCCTGTAACCCCTGAATCCTAAACCCTAAACCCTAAACCCTAGCCTCTCTGTCAACTGATAAGAACTCCACTTGAACTTTAAAAAGCTGCAAAACCCAAATTCCAGGGGACCTCAGGGGCTGCTTCTTCTGTCGCTGCTGCTGCTGTTGTGGCAGCAGCAGCCGCAGCAGAAGGTGCTGCTGCTGCTGCTGCTGCTGCGCATTCGCCTCCAGAAAACTTACCATAATTTGCATTGGAGAAAAAAAGCAGCAAAAATAAAACTTGGATTTCAATTATTTTATTTTGCTTCCCTTATTTATTTATCCTTAATTATTCTTTATTTTCTTTACTTTCAATTTTAAACATTTCTCTTTTGGATTTTTATTTTTAATTTTCCTTTATTATTTATAATTTGATTTCGGACATTTCCTTTTTCGTCACTCCAAAGGTTTTTGCTGCTGGCTTCAGTTTCTCTTATTTTCCTGCTGCTGCTGCTGCTGCTGCTGCTGCAGCTCCAGAGGTTTTGTTTTCTTTCTGGCTTGTGTCCCCCTTATTTATTTGCTGCTGCTGCTGCTGCTGCTGCTGCTGCAGCTCTACAGGCTTTTTTCCCTGCTGGCTTGTGTCTCCCTTATTTATTTGCTGCTGCTGCTGCTGCTTCTGCAGCAGCAGCTCCAAAGGCATGTTGCTGCTGGCTTTAGCTTCTCTCATTTATCTGCTGCTGTTGCTGCTGCTGCAGCAGCAGCAGCAGCAAGGGTTTGGCGAATCATTTCGTAGGCCGCTGCCTGCGGACCGCAGCAGCTAGCTGGCTCGTGTCTTAGCTGCAGCAATTAATTAAATTAACTAATTTAATTTAATTTAATTCAATTTAATCAATTGAATTAAATTAATTAATTAAATTCAATTTAATCAATTGAATTAAATTAATTAATTAAATTGATTATTATTTATTTCTCACTCTCGTCTTGGTGATTCCTAGAAAGCCGGTGGCGTGGCAAAACACGAAATCGGTTTCTTTGAGAGCCGCGTTTTCTGCTGCTGCTGCTGCAGCAGGAGCTGCTGCTGCTGCTGCTGCTGCTTCCTGCAGCACGACTTGGCCCAGCTGCGCGTCCCGGAGGCCCCGAAAAGACTCTTTTAATGGCAATCTGCTGCTGAAGTTTTCTCCTTCTTCGGGGATGCAGCGCACTGTCCACGAGGTGTACGTACACCCCGTGGCTTCGCAGCAACGCTCCGACGGATACACCTGAAACTTCAAAGGCTCCAATCCCAACTCCCACTCCAAATTGTAAATGTGGTCCTGAGCAGCAGCAGCAGCAGCAGCAGCAGCAGTGGCAGCAGCAGCGGCGGCGGCGGGGCGGCAGCAGCAGCGGCGGTGGAGCAGCAGCAGCAGCTGCGGTGGAGTGGTGGCGCCACTCGAA